GTTTTTGTTTTTTTTGCCATTCACAACTAAAGGGCTGCTGCTCTGTGGTTATCGGATCATTCTCCAGACATTTGCTCTTTGCAGTTTTCTTCCTCCCACTTTCCCTCAGCTTACATTTCCCCTCCCATGCTTTTGCTCCATTTTGCTAACACCAGTTGGGTCTGCTTTTATTTCCTGTAGGTGGTTTGTTTGGCTCAAGTCGCTGGACACGATGGCAGATGTTTGGGTTCAAGGGGAGGTGTAATGAAAGAGGATCACACTGAGAACATGCCCTCCCTGTCTCTGCTCTGCACAGACCAGATGTGCACTGTGTGGCCCAGCACGACAGTCATCCTGCATTGAAATCGAGAATATGAAAATATTCATCAGGAAAGCAGAAGTGCATAAAGCTACCAGAGGTGGCTCTCCAAAAATCTCTTATTCTCAGCAAAAAAAAAAGGAGGTTTCCCATGGTCCAGTAACTGTTTTGATAACCCTTTCCCTGTTGGACCAGAATACTAATAAATAGGTAGCAAAAGAAATATTTTGCTACAGGCTTAACTAAAGCAAGGCAAGCACTTACTCCATTGTCATTTTTCTCCTCCCCTTTTTTTGGGGGGGGGCTTTCCCAGGTTGGACAGAGCCAGCTGGAGAGCTGGACTGAGGGCTCACAGGAGAGAAATTAAAGAACAAGCGGAGATTTTGCATTTGAATCCTTAATTTATGGTTGCAGTGTATTGGGCAGTGAGAGAAAGAACTGGTGGAGGGGGAAGGAATTAAATTAAATCTGTAAATAATGGGTGGTATGTACCCAGCTTAAAATGGAAACAGGTAACAACAAACCTCTCACTGGAGCCATGTTAAATGTACAGCCAGAGGCTGGGGGTTAGGATCTTTTTTATACAACAGCTATTTGTATTCCTTAATTTCAGCCATTTACAGAGCTTCCTCGCTAGAGGATAGAATCATGGAATCATAGAATGGTTTGGGTTGGAAAAGACCTTAAAGATCATCTCATTCCAACCCCCTGCCATGGGCAGGGACACTTTCCACTAGCCCAGGCTGCTCCAAGCCCTGTCCAACCTGGCCTTGGACACTTCCAGGGATGGGGCAGCCACAGCTTCTCTGGGCAACCTGTGCCAGGGCATCAACACTCTTATAGTAAAGAATTTCTTACTAACATCTAATCTAAACCTGCCTTCCTTCAGCTTAAAGCCATTGTCCCCTAACTACATGCCCTTCTGAGAAGTCCCTCTCCAGCCCTCTTGCAAGCCTCCTTTAGGCACTGGAAGGGGCTCTAAGGTCTCCCTAGAGCCTTCTCTTCTCCAGGTTGAACAACCCCAACTCTCTCAGCCCGTCTAGGATAGAAGTTCAGTCTTTTAATGGTTGTAAAATGCACATGGCACTTTCCCCCATTTTGCAGTTGCAGAGCTGAGGCAGGGCAGGTTCAGCCCCACATCCCACAGACAGCCTATGGCAAGGAGATGGATGATCAGAAGCTGGTGCTGTTCACTGCTGCCCCATCCTCCCTCCTTCCCTGCCTGACCCTGCAGCAGTGCACGGCAGGGGACTCGCCGTCACCGGGGTGAGATGCTACAGATCATCTCTTGACTGGAGACTGAACCAAACATTTCAGAGGACTATTCTTCCATTTAAAAGCAGGTCTTCTCTGGATCTCTTATGCGAAGCATAAAAAGCTTTTCAAAATAGCCAGCATGATTATTCATGACTCCTCATTTGCAGCAGTGCTTGTTTTCCATGGCAGCGCCCGATGAGCTCACCTGAATAAAGATTTACAAGGAAGAATTGACGGCTGAAGGGTTTTTTTGCACAAGCAAAGGTGTGGGCTGGCACTGTCCCTTCCGCACGGGGAACTCGATGGACGCTGCTAGACCACAGAGCCCATCCCCACCCTGGTGCTGGTCTGGCCCCTGTGGTGCCCTCACACGGCTGTGCTGCGGCTCTGGCTCGGGGAACTCATCCCTGCTCGCTCAATTTACAAGTATCACACAGAGGAAGGGTTTGGGGGCACACTGGGTTTCCCAGGGAAGCTCTAGATGGACGGGCACACCTGATGGAGGGTGACGATTCCTGCCAAAACAACCCAAGGTGATACACCCGAGGCTGCGCGACGAGGATGTGGCGGTGCTGGGGAGGGAGCCCAGGTCACCGAGATCCCAGCCTAGCTCAGGATGATTTCCCAGCAGGCAGCGTCTTCTTTCCCCCCCCTGCTTACCCCTGCCCTCTGTGCTCCCCGAGCAGCAGGCTGCAGGGACTGGAATTTCCCGACTCCCGAGACCTCGACTGTGCTGCCGTAACACCCACTGGAGCCTCCTTTGCTTTCCCGCTCCCTGCGCCCCTCCCCGATTTTGTTCGTCTGTGGTTTTTGCACTGGGGAAAAAAAAAAAAAACAAAAAACAAAAAAACCAAAAAAAACCACGAAGTAACCAGAGGTTTCTGGGAGACCCTGCCCCGCACTGTCCGTCAGAGAGCAAGACAACAACATCGGGCCGCTTTGATCACCTCGTTGTTACAGTAGATTTAGATGGCGAGCTGCAGATTCCGGCAGCAGCTGCGAGCAATGTGGCGCAGCCCAAAAAAACACAGGCAGGGTCTGTCAGCGCAGCCCGGTGCCGGCTGGGCTGTCTGCTGCGTGATGTAACCCACCCCCCCCCCCCCCCCCTCCACTCCCCTTCCTTTAATTTGTTTTCCAGAAAATTCATTTCGAGAAGTGCTCCGCGAGTGGCTTGGCAGCAGCGGGAGGAAATGGGCTGGGGGAGGACGTCAGCTGTCAGCCCGCAGCCCCCGCTGCCAAGCCCCGGCCAGCGGGACGGCGTGGGGGCTCGCAGGGCTGCTTTCCCTGCCCGGGAAGAGCCTTTGGGTCGGGTCCATGCCGAGTTACTCCCGGTCAGCCGGGGCGGCGAGTTCCAGCGCAAGGACTGTGGGTTTTTTTGTGTGTGCTCCGCAGTGCCCGGCAGCGAGCGGCTGCACCTGTGGATGCGACAGTAAAACCGGTGATAAATAACGACCCAAGAAGGAGACAGCGCAGTTTAATCTGTATAAGTGAACACAATTAACTGGGGAAGGATGCTCAGGCTAGCTGAGGACGTCTTTCCTTTTCTCTTTCTCTTCCTCTCCCCTCTCTCTTTCCCTTTTCTTTCCCCTTCCCTTTTCCTTTTCCCTTCCCCTTTCCTTTTCTTCTGTGGGTCTGGGGATGCACGTCCAGGCTAAAGACTCGCAGAATTCCGAGGGTACAGCACAGAGAGCTTTACCTGCTCTGTTTTGTGCCACTTGACTCTTTACCTGTAGGAGATGGAGGGAACGTGGCTGAGAGAGGGAAGCACAAGATGTGCCAGCTGCAGTTGGGAGAGGGACAAACTGGCAAGTGATCTGCATGTCTTTGTCCTTCCTTCCTTCCTCCTCATTCCCTCCCTTCCTCCCTCCCTCTTTGCTCTTGTTTATCAAAACAGAAGGTCCCACCGACTTGCTCTGAGATTCAAAGCCCTATTACATCATCTCCTCCTTCTCTTGGAAGTCAAGGGAAGGTGGGTTGGTCTTTCCCATGGACTCAGAGCTGCAAGGGACCCCCAGGACCAAAATGCCCATCTATTGCTTCAAGCAGAACCTCACCAGGTCCAGCCCAAACAGACGTTGCTGTAGAAGTAGCAACATCTAGGGCTTGCTCTGGGAGACCTCCACAACCTCCTGGGAATGTGTCCCTGTGTCTGCTCAGCCCGCTCCAGCAGGAAGCTTTGCCTGATGTGCTCTCCAAATTTCCCTTGGTGCAATGTAGCTTGTCCCTTCGTTGTCCTGCCCCTCAGGGACATGGTCTGTCCCTTGGTGCCCTCAGCAGCCTTTCAGGAGCAAACCATGGCCCGTGCCCCAGACAGGATGGGGAAGTAATTTCTACATTTTGTGGTAGTGGAAGTGTGAAGGAGTCTAATTATTCGTGGAAAAGGAGGTTCCTGCATCTATTCCTTCCTTCTGCCACCCATAAGTCTCACCAGGACCATCAGGGGAGACAACTACTGGGAGTAAGACCACTGGAAATCAGCTCCCTAACTTCTTCCATGACTGCTGACCCCCCTAAGGCCAAAAAGAATGGTCACAGGTAATGATCCTGCTGCCTTCAATGGGATTAACTTAACATATGCCCAAATGCTTTGCTGGAGGAGGTGGGAGGCACCTGCAGTGGAACACTGCAAGATGGGATGGGAGAGCAGCTGATGGCTTTCCTGTTCTTTGGAGCATGGGAATTGCTGAGCGCTTTGGCTTGGCACTGCTGGTGAGCAGAAGGACACTGCAAACTCCTCACTACCTTCCTGCAGGTCACCTACTCCATAACTCACTGGAGTCATTTCTCCCTGCAGAGAAGGACAAGCTGAAGAATGTTGTTGGCCAGATTGTATTATTATTTCTTTTTCCTTTTGGAAAAATAACGGCATAGCATTTCCCCCTGCCTTGTCCTCTCCCGCGCTGTGCTGGTAGCTGCACTGAAGCTGATTGATTAGTTTAATAACAGGCAGTTGATATGCAGCCATAAAATTATGCACTTTTACTCATCAGCCTGATTGAACTCCTCTGCTGACTGTACAGGAGCAGAATGGCAGAGTTAAAATAATGAGGGAAACAGCCAAGGGAAAAGCAAGCGTGGTGGTGTTATTGTTTTAAAGCTGAGCGAGAAAATGGGTCCAGGGAGGAGCTTTTCCAAAATAAATACCAAAATACAGAGGGAAAATGTTAAGATGTAATTAGCACTGGTACGAGTGCCATTAAATGTCTACAGGGGTTGGAGGCGTCAGCAGAGCTGCTTTTACACCCACGTGGTCTATGTTGGGGTTTCAGGAGGTTGGGGCTGACTCTGCTGAACACCCCCAGTCCCCACCTCCTCAGAAAGAGCCCTTGGCAGGGTGAATCGAATCAAGGGGGAAAAGATGGGAATTCAGTTTGTTGTCCTGTTTGGTTTTGGGGAATTTTTTTTTTCCCCCCCAATTCTGGACAAGGAAGGAGGGATATAAGGATGGAGCTGGAAAGAAATGTGACTGGGAAGGGTTTGTCCCCTCTGCCCCCATGCTAATGGCATCAGTGGAGCGGAGACGGTGTGATGGGGGTGTGGGAAGCACCAGAGCACTTCCAGCCTGGCCTGGAGAGAAGAGGACTCCTCTCAGTGACGTCCCCACGGCCCTGAGCTCTGCTCTCCGTGTTTCTGGGCACTGGGGAGCTGAAGTCAGACTCTGACCTGCGGGTTGTCAATCACACTCTGCAAAGCCACCAAAGGGAATTGAAGGTTCCCACTCAGCCATGAATCAAAATGCAGGAGCAGGCAGTGGGGCTCGCTGATGAAGAGGCACACAGCCCCCGTCCATGCGCGGAGAATGGCATTTAAGACTTTATATCCCAATAAAATATTTCCCAGCTCTCCAGGCAGGGCTTTGCGGGGTTGACAGGCTCACTATTTGTCCTGCACACATTCATTTTATTTATAAGACCAATTTGTCTGTGAATAGGTCAGCCTTGTGCCTGTGAAATGTTTTAATTGAACCTTGTCACGTGCTGTGTCCCCAGCACAGCCATCACACAGCCTTGACCCTGGGTCCAGCCTCCAGCCAGAATACAAAGCTGTTCAGATTTTCCCTTTGGGGCACGTCTCCCTGAAGGAGGGGATGGGAACAGGGGAGGGAACAAGTGGCACTTGGCATTTATTTTCTCCCAGAGAAATGCTTGGTAAAGGGTTGCACAGCCCTTCTCCCTGATTGCACCCCATCCAGGTTGTTCCTGGAAGCAAGGCTCTTCCTTATTTGCGCCAAAGGGCTTTGGGTCAGGCCACGTGTGGGTTGCAGGATGCTGTTGGAGATGACACACAGCTGGACTGACATATCCAAGGGTACTGCTTCTCCAGCTTCCCCCCTGTTTATTATGGGTTTATTATGTTTATTATGGGTGCCCTCGCCGGTGGTTCTTGGGTGGGCTTTCCTCCTGGGCTCCTCCTCTGCCACCTTCTGTTTCCCATCTCCCTCTGGACAGGAGCTGTTGGGTTGTGTTATCTTGTCCGGATTATCCCTCAGGAAGCTCCTCCACAGCTCCTGACACCCAGGTGCTGACTGGGTCACCCTGTTGGGCTGAGACAAGTGTCCCCTGAGGCCAGGGGGGGACATTCATTGTAGAGTCAGGCCAGGATCCCTGATGTGACCTCCAAAAGATCTCAATGCCCATGTGTGGGGCCCCAGATACTGCCAAGATCCCCAGTGACCATCGTGGTCAGAGCTCACATACAGCCCTTTGGACTCTGCAGAGGCAGCACTGGGCAGGACTCAGTTTCTGTCCTTGTGCAGGATGGACTCAGCCTGTGTCACTCCTGATGGACATTGCTCCTCCTTATCCTTCAAAACCTCTAGTGATGGAGATCCATGATCTTCCCTTTGCTCACTCCAATGTTTCACCGCTCTCAGAGAGAGGTAGGGGTACAGCTGCTTCTGGTATCACTTTAGGCACCCTGTTTTCTGTGATTCCATGAGATTCCTGTGAAACCACAGCCCAAGTAACGTCCCAGAAAGAGCACAGCTAAGATTTCAAGAGCTGAAATAGTGAACTTCATGTCCCTCAGGGCAAACGTCCATAATCATCATCTACTCCTGGCAGGGGCTCAGCAACAGCAAGTCTGTCCTGGGTGGTTTTGCAGGGTGCTATGGAGCTAATCCAGAGTCTTTTGATGTACAGCACAGGGATGGATCAGAGACTGTGAAGAACATCCTCACACAAGCCCAAGAACCAGGAGTGAGGTGCTGGGTTGACAAGTTTGGAGCTCCAAGTCTTAAACTCTGTTTTCTCTCTCCACTGTTGTGGGTCTGTTCCCTTCCTGGCAGCCTGTCCTCTCCCTTGCACTGAGCAAAGGAACATGTGGAGTCTGCACTTGAATCCAGAGCACTGCAGGTGCTAAAGAAATACCTTGCTTCACTGCTAAGGAGCAGATCTGCATGTGGCTCCTTGTCCTCTGGGTTGGAGCGTGTCCTCCGGCCTGGAGTGGAAAGGATAAACACTCTGTGGCGTAGCAAAAACTTTGCTTTTGTTCGTCTTCCTCTAAAGCAAAACCAGACCCTGCAAATCACTAACAAATTGTCTTTCTGCAAGAGCAAATCTTGGTAAAAGCTGTCTGGGTTTCTTTATGCAACGGAGTTGGAAAACTAAATTTAACTGCTCCTTCAGGCTTCCCTCCCCTTTCTTTTGTTTTCTGGCAAAAGCCCCGTTACCAGGATGGAAAGCTTCAGTATTGAAATTTGCCATTAAAGTTTTAAAAAACAACCACCACAAACATTTCCAAATACTTTGGAGGAAAAAAAAAAAAGCAAAAGTAAAACCCACCAAAGCTGTTTTCCCCTCTCCTTACTTTGAGCAGGTGCAAAGAAGAGCCCTTTCCAAGGTAAAGGAAGAAAGCCTAAGAGGAGGCAAAGGAAGATGACGTGGACAAAGGCTGTGAGAACAAACAATATTCTGACTCAAAGGATGTTGCAAACACATTGTATATACTCGGAAATATTTTAAAACCATTTTTAAACCAAAGCAGAAGCTGAGGAGGAGTTGGCCAGCGGCAGGAGGGGAAAGACATGGAGCTTGAATTAGGAGTTCAGGGAGAGTGAACGATCCTCAGCCCTGAGAGGGAGCTTGGGGGCAGCATGAAGAGGGCAGGAGCAGAAGCAGTGAGGATGGGGAAGCCACCAAATTGAGCAGGCTGGTGTGGGATGTGGCAAATCACTAATACAACAGGGGTGATGATATATAGTCCTTTCTTGAAGTTGTCCAAGCACAGCAGCCTGAAAGGTGTCAGGGCCAGAATCTGCCTGTTCAGCTGCAGGTACAGCCTGAAATAGCAGATTCAAATGGTTAATAAAGGGAATGTTTATGCAGTGGTTCTTGCCAGCTGAGAGGGGAAGCCTAACAGCGAGTGCCTAGTTATTCCTGATTTCTGCTCTTGGCAGAAGATTTGGCTTGGTGACCTCCTGAGGTCCCTTCCAACCTCATTTATTCCTGGTCCTATGGGCACGAGTCAATGAGCTCACCAGGGTCCTCATACATATTGCATTAAGGATGATGAAGAGAATGTGGCAAGTGAAGAACAGAATGAATTCAGTCCATGCTGAGTATCTTTCTCCAGACTTGAATATCATAGAACCACTTAGGTCAGAAAAGACCTTTAAGACCATTGAGTCCAGCCATTAAGCCAGCTCTGCCAAGTCTACCATTAAACTGTGTCCCCAGGTGCCACATCTACATGTCTTTTAAGTATCCCCAGGGACAGTGACTCCACCACTTCCCTGGGCAGCCTGTTCCAGGGCTTGAAAACCCTTTCTGTGAAGCAGTAATTCCTAATATCCAATCTAAACCTCCCCTGGCACTGCTTGAGCCCATTTCCTCTGGTCCTATGGCTTGTCACCTGGGAGAAGAGACTGACCCCCACAACCTCCTTTCAGGGAGTTGTAGAAAGTGAAATGGTCTCCTCTGAGCTTCCTTTTCTCCAGGCTGAACCCCCCCAGCTCCCTCAGCTGCTCCTCATCTGACTTGGGTTCCAGTCCCTTTCCCAGCTCTGTTTCCTTTCTCTGGACATGTTTCAGCTCAGCACACAGATAACCCCGAGGATGCTACAGCAGGATCTGCGTCCTTTACAGAACTGGCTTTTTACAGACTTTTCCAGGCTTTATTCTGGGGATGTCCCAGACCATCTCCATGGGTTCTCCTTCCTTCCTCTCCCAGAGGAGATAAAAATACTGGAGAAATGGGGAAGGGGATGGAAAAGGAAATGAAAGGGAAGGTTTGGGAAGGTTTGGGAAGGAAAGGAAAAGAAAGGGAAGGGAAGGGAAGGGAAGGGAAGGGAAGGGAAGGGAAGGGAAGGGAAGGGAAGGGAAGGGGAAAGGGGAAAAGAGAAAAGAAGAGAAAAGAAGAGAAAAGAAGAGAAAAGAAGAGAAAAGAAGAGAAGAGAAAAGAAAAGAGAAAAGAAAAGAGAAAAGAAAAGAGAAAAGAAAAGAAAAGAGAAAAGAAAAGAGAAAAGAGAAAAGAGAAGAGAAGAGAGAAGAGAAGAGAAAAGAGAAAAGAGAAGAGAAAAGAGAAGAGAAAAGAGAAGAGAAAAGAGAAAAGAGAAGAGAAGAGAAGAGAAAAGAAGAGAAAAGAAGAGAAAAGAGAAAAGAAAAGAGAAAAGATTTGCCAGTGATTTAAAAAAATATATTTTATAGAAAGCAAAATTGTTGTGAAGCAAAATGCAGGTCTTAAATACCCTGTTGGTGCTTTCCCCTCTGCGGGGCCGCTCCGGGGCCGCCGAGCGCGGTGGGGCGGCCGCTGCTTTTGTTTTCTTCCGTCCGAGTGACCTCCCGGTCACTCCAAATGTCACAGCGGCCTGTGGAGCCGCGGCTCCCCGCAGCCCCTTCCGGAGGGGGGAACACGCCGTCACCGGACGAGAAACTTGGCTGCTAAAACACCCGAGAGCAAATCGGTGTCAGAGACAACCGAGCCCCGGGAGCGGGAGGGAGAGAGGGGGTCGCTCTCGGAGATCGTGATTCATCAGCAGCAGACCCGGCGCTAAGGCTCCGTGGACTTCAAAAACGACCTCAATAGGCCAGGGTGCCCCCCAAGTTCCCCTCAAATGCCACCTTTGGGAATAGAGGGTTTCTTCTTGTTGTTTCACCCGATGCGCCGGTAAAACCCGGAGCCGGATAAAACCGCGCTGCCGAGCGTGGGGTCTCTTCCCCCCCGTGGCACCGCTTTATTTTGCGGTTTACATTTAGCTGTCACCGAGATGGGCACGTTAAAGCCATGGTAAGGCAAATATTTGCTCAGCAGGAAAAGCCGCCAAAAGGTAAATTGCCTGGCGTTACCTCCGGCGCGTCTCACATGGGGAGATGTGAGAGGCCGGGAAAATCCCAACCTCTGACCATTCACAGGCTATTAAAGATACCACTTCCCCCTCCGAGAGCTCATCTTCTGGCTTAAAGCTCCACTTGCCACGTGAGCAGCATTGATTTGAAAGTATCAGGTGCTCTGTTCATCTGCTTAAATCTGTTGAAATCCCGATGGAGCAGCTGATGGGGACCAGGAACCACTTGTCCCATTTTCCAGCGGAAATCCCAGATGGACCAAATGAGTTAGAGCGCCTCCAACGTTCCTCTTTCCCCTCATGGCCTGACAGGGTGTCTTCTGGCTGCACACAAGGTTTGGTGTGGGGGAATGCATACTGCTGCCCTTCGAGTGTATCCTGATAATTTGTCAGCATCAATGTTAAAAAAGGTGCCTCCTTTGGAACACAAATTCACTTGGACCTGCTCTCCACTCGCTGCTATTTTTCTCCCACAGATCAGGCAGCCCTGCATCCTGTATCCTCTCCCCTCGGAAGCAATCCTCAGCTCTAATGAAGTCCACTCCCAATTTTAGCTTTTGTTTGTTGGCCCTCTCCCTGCGCTAAATATTTATTATTATGACATTTATTATCACATTATTTTGGTGACTCACCATCCCCAACTTCCCAGCATTGTTTCTAACGGGAACTTCTCGGTACCTGTTTCATTAACACCCTGCATGGAAGCAACTTCACCCTCACATCCCTTCCCACGTTGACTCAGCCCTTCACCTCCACGACAAAACCAGTCCCTCCTGACCCTCCTTCGGGGCGAGTTCATGGCCTGCTCTTTGTCCACAGTGACCACTTCATCTTTTTGCACCATCACTGCTGTCCCCACGACCAGATGGGACTGTCCTTTCTTTGAATGTCACCAGGTAGTAAACACTGGTCCCAAGGCAACCATCAATTTTTTTTTTGTCCAGCGCTGAATTAATCCACAGCCACCATCCTGAGGTCCCCAGCTGAGTGATTGCATTTTTGATACATGACAGTGCATGTTCAGCAACGACCAGCTGTGTTTCCAGAAACACTAATGCTGTTCTGCTACTGCAGCACAGGCCTCTCAGGCTGAGATATCCATTAACCAAAATCTCCTAATTTCTGCAAATTAATGTCCAGAGCTCTTCTCCACTTCAGCCCAACAGCTCATAACAGATCCCTGACGCTGCCCACTCTTGGGTAATGTCAGCTCGAAGATGCAGAGGCATGGAAGGCTCTCTGGCTCTGAGGTATCGATAAATCTTAAATGAAATGTGGATTTTTTATTAATAGGTGTCCTCTGCTCCCTGTCCTCCCTTCCATCTTCCTCCACGCTGCAGCCCATCATTGCAGCACTCCACTCACCTGAACCCCTCATTTCTCACCCCAGACTCCCCACAGTACTTTCTGAACTACTGAAAATCTCTCCTTCTCTGTCGCATTGCTTTGACAACCAAGGCTTTCAGCTGCTCTGTCACAGAGGAGGTTCATGCCAGTATTTTTTGCTTTCTTTCTCAATCCCTCAGAATTATCTCCCAGCTGCTACCCCCTCCAAATTATTTCTTCTTCAGACTCAGGGGTTCTCTGCGGTCTGTGCTGACCTATGTAACTCCATGTGATGCTCCATCTGTTGTTGACTTCTATGTGTTTACTTTCTAAGGGGAAAACTGAAAACATGACTTCAAGCTCTGGCCAGTGTCACTGTCATTCCTCAAAAATAAGATCTGCTGTGGACTGAGCTCTGATTTGGATGGGCTCAAGGCTGTGGCTCAGCCCCAGGGGTGCTGACTGAGGGAGGGCTTGTGAACTGTGTCCTGTGCAGTGCTGCATCTCATGTGGGGCCACCTCGGCCCGCAGAGAACCGAGGATGTGAGCAGACAGACAGCACTGATCTGCTGTTCACAGCCACCAGCTGTGGGGCTGAGCTCGGAGGGGTCCCCAGAGTGTCTGACCTGACTTCCAGCTCCACCGTGGGGTGCAAAGCAATTCCCAGCATGGGAATCTTGGTTGTTGGCCTCCCTAAGCACAGCACAGCTCTCCAGAACAGACCATAACCCACTGGTTTGAGCTTGGAGCAGCTCACATGAACGCTCTATAATGGGAGTCAGACCCTGATACCTCAGCATAACCAAGATGCTACATTCAGACAGCTACTGGACTGAAGGCATGTCAGGGTTTATATGTACATAATTTTCTCTCTGATCCTGCCTCTATACAGGCATTCAACAGCTGGACCTCCAGTTCAAGTATATTTATAAATAAATACATCCATGCATGGCCAGTGAGGTGTATTAAACCCAGCTTATTTCAGAAATAGCATCGTTTTTCCTGGCGAAGGAGAGCAGCTTCTCTCATTTTCTGGGCCACTTGTATTTTTGGGCTTAGCGAGGCAAAATGCCAAGGAGAGACAGCCTGTTTACCTAAGAGCAGCTAAAAGAGCTGTGTGGCAATCAAGGTATCGAGTGGGTTGGGCTGAAAATAGATCAGCTTGGAAAGACTTTGATCAAAAATGCTCATCAGGGGACTGGATGGCCTTGAGCACCAGTAACAAGCTCTTAGGGAATATATCCCCTCTGCACAAACACTGAGCAAGGTGCACACTCCTCCCTCCCATCTCTCATGAACCGTATCATGAAATGGGATTAATTATCAGGAATGTGATCTTTTTTTTT